GCTAACATCAAATTGAACGGAGAAAAACTCAAAGCCATTCCACTAAAATCAGGAACACGACAAGGCTGTCCACTCTCTCCATACCTCTTCATTATAGTGCTGGAAGTTCTAGCAATAGCAATAAGACATCATAAGGGGATCAAGGGGATTCGAATTGGAAAGGATGAAGTTAAACTTTCATAATTTGCAGACGATATGATAGTGTACATAAGTGACCCCAAAAGCTCTACCAAGGAACTCCTACAGTTGATAAACACCTTTAGTAATGTGGCAGGATACAAGATTAACTCCAAAACATCAGTTGCCCTCCTATACACAAAGGATAAAGAAGCAGAGAGGGAAATCAGAGAAACATCACCTTTCATGATAGCCAGAAATAGCATAAAATATCTTGGGGTAATTCTAACCAAGGAAGTGAAAGACCTATTTGACAAGAACTTTAAGTCCTTGAAGAAAGAAATTGAGGAGGATACCAGAAAATGGAAAGACCTCCCCTGCTCTTGGATTGGGAGAATCAACATAGTAAAAATGGCAATTCTACCAAAAGCAATCTATAGATTCAATGCAATTCCCATTAAAATCCTATCAAATTTCTTCACAGACCTTGAGAGAACAATAATCAAGTTTATATGGAAAAACAAAAAACCCAGGATAGCCAAAACAATCTTATACAATAAAGGAACTTCTGGAGGCATTACCACCCCTGACTTCAAACTATATTACACAGCTACAGTATTGAAAACAGCTTGGTATAGGCATAACAACAGATAAGTCGACCTATGGAATCGAATAGAAGACCCGGGTATTAACCCACAAACGTATGAACACCTGATATTTGACAAGGGAGCTAAAGGTATACAATGGAAGAAGGAAAGCATCTTTAACAAATGGTGCTGGCATAACTGGATGTCAACCTGTAGAAGAATGAAAATTGATCCATATCTATCGCCATGCACAAAACTCAGGTCCAAATGGATTAAAGACATCAACATTAATCAGACCACTTTGAACCTGATAGAAGAGAAAGTCGGAAGTAGTCTACAAGATATAGGCACAGGAGACCACTTCCTCAGCAGAACTCCAGGAGCGCAGACAATAAGAGAAACAATGAATAAATGGGACCTACTGAAACTGAGAAGCTTCTGTAAAGCAAAGGACACTGTCAGTAAGACAAAAAGGCTACCTTCCGACTGGGAGAAGATCTTCACAAACCCCTCATCAGACAAAGGTCTGATCTCCAAAATATACAAAGAACTCAAGAAACTAGACACTAAAATTCTAATTAACCCAATTAAAAAATGGGGTACTGAACTGAACAGAGAATTCACAACAGATGAACTTCGAATGACCAAAAGACACTTAAGGTCATGCTCAACCTCCTTAGCGATCAGGGAAATGCAAATCAAAACCACTTTGAGATACCATCTTACACCTGTCAGAATGGCCAAACTCAAAAACACCAATGATAACCTATGCTGGAGAGGATGTGGAGTGAGGGGAACACTCATCCATTCTTGGTGGGAATGCAAACCTGTGCAGCCACTTTGGAAATCAGTGTGGTGGTTTCTCAGGAAACTGGGAGTCAACCTCCCTCAGGACCCAGCAATTCCACTCTTGGGAATATACCCAAGAGATGCCCTAACATACTACAAAAGCTTTTGTTCAACTATGTTCATAGCAGCACTATTTGTAATAGCCAGAACCTGGAAACAACCTAGGTGCCCCTCAATAGAAGAATGGTTAAAAAAGGTGTGGAACATATACACATTAGAGTTCTACTCAGCGTTAAAAAAACAATGACATCTTGAATTTTGCATGCAAATGGATGGAAATAGAAAACGCTTTACTGAGTGAGGTAAGCAAGACCCAAAAAGAGGAATATGGTATGTATTCACTCATAAGTGGATTCTAACCATAATTAGAGGTCTTTGAGTTGATTATTCGTGATCCTAGAGAAGCTAAATAAGAAGGTGAACCTGGTGAAAATCATGTAGCTATCCGCCTGGAGATTGGAAATAGACAAGAGTCCCAGGTAACCTCGGGTGCATGGGGGGGTGGGAGGGTTTTTGAAAGGGGAGGGGCTAGAGAGAAGGGAGTAGGGGAGGCATGGGGAAAGCTCGGTGGACTGGGATGTGGGGGAGGGAGGAAGGATATATATGGGATCAGGGAAGAATATATTTCAACTAAGGGAGTCATTTTAGGGTTTACAGGAGACTTGATTATAAATGGGATCCCAGGTCCAAGGAGAGATCCCCAGATTGTTCTCTGGACAGAAGAGAGGGTGCCTGAAACGGCCTAGCCCCATAACCATACTGATGAATATTTTGCTTATCACCATAGAAACTTCATCTGGCGATGGATGGAGATAGAGACAGAGACCCACATGGGAACACTGGACTTAACTCCCTAGGTCCAAACGAGAAGCAGAAGGAAAGAGAACGTGAGTAAAGAAGGCAAGACCAGAGGGAACCTTCATCCGACGATGGATGGCGATACAGATGGAGACCCACATTGGAGCACCGGACTGCTACATCCACGGCTGTCTCGCCAGTGTAGCAGAAATGCTGACTGGATGGGCAAATATTGCCAGTAGGAGTGGGATTTGTGCTTCTAGGAGCTGTGTGTTCCAGGCGGGTCTCTGGCAACCAGTTGTGGTGTAATGCTACTTGAGTTGCCATTAGTATTGACTCGACCTGGGTGTCCTTGGAGCCATATGTGTGTCTTTTCCCTTGTCTGTGTGTTCTTTGTGATCCTTACATATTACTAACAGATCAGACTATTCCAGGCAGTTGTGGATATAAACAAGACTGCTGAGGACATTTTTGAATTCTGCTCCACTATTAATTAAAGCCTTAAAAAGTAGCCAGTTCTGGGAATTGCCAGAATCATCGTTAGGACAATTCCTTGATGATGTAAAATAAAAGGAGTTAATCTTAGCAGAAAAACCTTAGAAGCCTTCTACAGGAAAACAGCATTAGGCATTTATGTACAACTTAACAGGAGGCCTATGCAACCTTCCTTATGGCCAGAAAACCTAGGCTAATTACAACATCTGATCCTGAGAGTTGGGAAGGGAAAGGAGTTGAGATTAATGGTACAAAATGAGTCTCAGAAAGTTTTTCCAGGAAGATAGTAGCCTTCTTCTTTCTCACCCAGACACACAAGGTCACTTAGCTAAGCCCAGCCAGCCACCTGGTACAAGCTGATAAAGGTGGGCTAACTCAAGAACAGTGGTCTCTCTAATAACAAGAAAAAAGGGCTGACTTAACGGTATATGAGGAAACAAAAGTCCTTGTATCCATGCCAAAGCATCTTCAAAGATTCTCTTTGTAAAACTGTTTTGTGCTGATCTTTTCTATTTTATAATCTGATGATGTATGCCTTTACCAAGTTCTTTGTCTGTAAAAATATAAATACCTCACACTAAGAGAATAAAGACGCAGCAGTATGTTTCATTGAGAATGACTGTCTGTCAATTTCCTTGCCGTATCCTGATTTCTCCTGTGCCTTCGCCCTGATTCCCTTACGGTCTGAGTGGCTCCCTTGAGCCGGTCCGTAGCACCGGACTGAGCCCCCCAAGGTCCAAATGAGGAGCAGAAGGATGAAGAAAATGAAAAAGGAAATAAGAACTGCGAGGGATGCGATCACCCACTGATACAAGGGGACGGATCTAATGAGAGTTTACCAAGGCCAGTTGGACTGGGACTGAATGAGGATGCGATCCAACCAGATTCTCTGAATGTGGCCGGATTTTCTGAATGTGGCTGTCCCGGAGTCTTTCTGAAAAGCCATTGACAATGACACTGGGACTTGTTTCCTCTGCATATACTGGATTTTGCGGATCCAGTCTGTCTGGACGCTCACCTTCCTTGACCTGGAGGGAGGGGGGAGGAACTTGAACTTCCCACAGGGCAGGAAACCCTGACTGCTCTAAGGAATGGAGAGGGAGGAGGAGAGGGAGTGGGGGGAGTGGGAGGGTGGTGGGAGGAGGGGCGGAAATGGAAACTTTTATAATTTAATAAAATTACTTTCCAAAAAAGAAAAAAAAACAGGGAAGGCAGTCACCAGATGCGACCAAGTCTGCCTCCCTATGAAACTGCAGCCCTCAGTCACCATCGGTGAGTACATTGGTGGGGGAGGGGTGGAAGCTACGGGCGGGCGCCATGTGTCTTCCGTTCCCCTTTGCAAACATGTCATCATTGCCCCGCCTTCAGTTATCTCACTCTTTCTCAAACCTAGTGGCTGCGTCTTCAAGCTCCTCCTCCTCTGATAAATCTAGATTTATAAACTCCTTCAGCACTAAACTTATGGGGCTTTTCTTCCCCTTTTCTCTTGTTACTATTTCCGGATCCTGTTCCTTTGATTTTTACTTTTTCTTTTTAGGCCTATCTTTACCTTCCTCCTTATGATCTGATTCTGAAAAGCTGTCTTGATGTTTCTGTAATGCCTTGCGACCCTGCTTTGATATATCAGTATTACGTTCATCCTTTAAACAACTCCACACCATCCTCCAAAGAGGAAGTGTGCCCCTTCCAATTTTTCCTTCTCTCTCAGCTTGTTCCAAATCCCTGCCTAATCTGTCCCATGACTGCAAGGTTAAATCACCTGAAGCTGCAAACCAGGGTGAGATCTTATCGATATCCTTAACAATCATAGCGACTGTCCCGGAAGAGATCTTTAAACCGTGCTGCTGTAAAAGCGCCTGGATTGAGCCGTAGATTTTGGTGGGTCTCGAGGTGGTTCCATAAGAATTGCCCATGGTCCCCTGGGCTAAAGAACCCCCCTTTTTATTTATAAGGGAGTTACGTTCTTTTCAGAGAAACGCCACTTGATCTACTGCGGACTTACTTTCACTTTTGATTAGATGCAGTTGCAGCAGCAAAGACACTCACAACCTGGTTAATAGCAGCGCAGCCAAAAGCAGCAGAGAAGAACGAACACAACTGTTAACTCTAATGCAAGGTCAAACCACTCTGGACCAATGCCAGCAATCAGCATACCTGGAGGATTTTTCCGACATCGCCGCTCCGTGTATAGAGTTCTTAATTCTCTGCCCTCTTCTGGGTGACCGATATGTTGTCTCGGGTTTTGGCACCAGTTGTGGGGTGTCCCTTGACCAGCAAGCAAGAACGACCATGAGTTGAGGATTCTTCTCTGATCACACTTTATTGGAGCCTCTTGGTTGAAGGGAGAGCGGAGAACGAGAGGGAATGAAAGCCAAGCGGCAGTTGCTTTTCTAGGGTGGAGGGAGTCGGATACTGTCCTGATTGGTGAATACCAGTCCGCTGAAGCCCAGGGCTTCAGGATTGACTAAGGACAAGTCTCAGTTGTGCAAATGCAGGCAAAGGGTGCTCAACCCCATGCGGCAACATCAAAAGGATTTGTTTACCTCCAAGCTGCTGGACTGCCAGTGCCATTTCGTAATGTCGATGTCCTGACGGCTCCTTACATCTCTGTTCATTTTTTTTTGTCTGATTGACCTATCCAGTGGTGAGAGGGGAGTGTTGAAGTCTCCCATTATTAGTGTGTGGGGTTTAATGTATGATTCAAGCTTTAGAAGTGTTTCTTTCACATATGAGGGTGCCCTTGTATTTGGGGCATAGTCGTTCAGTATTGAAATTTCCTCTTGATGGATTTTTTCCTGTGACTAGTATAAAAGGAACTTCTTTGTCTCTTTTGACTGATTTTAGTTTGAAGTCTATTTTGTTCAATATTAGGATAGCTACACCCGCTTATTTCTTAAGTCCATTTGATTGGCATATTTTTTTTCCCAACCCTTTACTCTGAGACGATGTCTGTCTTTGAGATTGAGACGTGTTTCTTGTATGCAGAAGAAGGATGAATTCTGTTTTCTTATCCAATCTGTTAGCCTGTGACCTTTTATCACTGAGTTGAGTCCATTTACATTAAGAGATAGTAATGACCAGTGATCCAGTGATTGCTATCTCCTGTTAATTTAGTTTTTATCATTGATGATATTTGTGCATTTTTTCTTTGGGATTTGCTGTTATGAGACCATCAATTATTTGTGTTTTTGTTGGTGTAGCCATCTTCCTTGTGATGGAGTTTTCCTTCTAGTATTTTGTGTAGGGATATGTTTGTGGCTAGGTATTGGTGAAATCTAGATTTGTCAAGGAATATCTTGTTTTGGCCTTCTATGGTGATTTACAGTTTTGCTGGGTATAGTAGTCTGGGCTGTCACCTGTGGTCTCTTAATGTCTGCATAATGCTTGACCATGACCTTCTGGCTTTCATTGTCTCCAATGAGAATCTGGTATAGGTCTACCTTTATATGTTACTTGGCCTTTTTCCTTTACAGCTCTTAATATTCTTTATTTTTACTCTGTATATTTGGTGTTTTGATTATTATGTGGTGAAAGGACTTTTTCTGGATCCAGTCTGTTTGGTGTTCTGTAAGCTTCTTGTAGCTTCATAGGCATATCTTTCTTTAGGCAGGGAAAGTTTTCTTCTATGATTTTGTTAAATTTTCTGTGCCTTTGAGTTGAACTTCTTCTCCTTCTTCTATACCTATTATTCTACAATTTGTCCTTTTAATGGTGTCCCATATTTCCTGGATATTTTCAGTTAAGCTTTTGTTAGATTTAATGTTTTCTTTAACTGATGAGCCTATTTCCTCTATTGTATCTTCAGTGCTTGAGATTCACTCTTCCACCTCTTGTATTCTGTTGATCATGCTTATGTTTGTGGTTTCTGATCTTTTTCTCATGATTTCTCTTTCTATAATTCCTTGGGCTTGTGTTTTCTTTATTGTTTCTATTTTAGTCTTCAAGTCCTGAATAGTTTTTTTATATGCTTGATTTCTTTTTCTTTGTTTTCTTTAAGTGATTTGCTGATATCTTCTAATTCTTTGTTTGTCTTTTCCTCAATTTTTTAAAAGGAATTTTGCATTTCATCTTTAAGAATTTCAAACATTCTCTTGAAGTTATTTTTTAGATCATTTTCTTCTAGTTCAACCATATTTGGTTGTTCAGGTCTTGCTGTTATAGGTTCTTTAGGATTTACTGATGTTGTGTTGCTCTTTGTGGTGTAGCATGTGATATTACCTTTTCTATTCATCTTTTTCTCTAATAGGTGTGGTTGGGACTGTCTGAGATTCTGTTAAATAATCTTCAAGGTGCCAGTGAATCCAAAGCTCCAATGGTTATTCCTTGTGGCACATTCAGTGTCACAGTTCTAGTTACCCCATTAGTTACTTGGTGTTCCTGGAGGTAGCTCATTGCTCCTGTGCCTTGCTCTGCTCACTTACAGTTTGCTGTCTCAGGCTTACTTTCTATATTACATTTCAAATGAGCTGCACAAGCCCAATACCTTCATCAAATAAAGAATTATATGTGTAACAAAATTGACCTTAAATTTGAATCAGTAGACCAAGATCCATACCAATGCAAAGCATTCATATTTATATCATATCTCCCTTTAAATGTAAACAAACATTTATAAATAGTCATTTAGGGAATTTGGACATAGTTCTTTCCAAACTGCTTCCTGCTTTTTGGGGGGCAAAGTAATTTTAGGGGGTGTTCATGGCAACCTTCGGGGGGGGTCTTGGTCAATCAAAGCACATTAGTCTGGGAGAGACCTACAGGTTCTCATCTTCTGTGGAAACAAAAGAAGAATTTCTTTTCCAAGTCAACATATTCTTAGACTCAAATTTTGAAGTCAAGAAATCTTTAACATATATATGTTGGTTTAGCTTAGTAGTCCCCAGAATCAAATGTCTCTCTCTTAAGCCGCTCACACTGCCCTAGTTCCAAGTATGCAGCAGATCTATGTCGAGTCATTAAGCAGTTTGTAATATGCAGCTCACAGACCCCATTCAAATGCTCCATAGGCGGACCTCCTAAAAGAGTCAGAGCCATTTGTGCTGGAGAACCAGGAAACCACCATTTTGAAACTGAGCAGCTTTCTTTTTTCTAACGCTAAATCAGGGAGACCTCTTTTAAAGAAGTTGTGGTATGCTAGCAAGCAGAGCCCATCCAAAAAATTGTGGCCAAACTTTGCTTTTTAGTCTCTAGAATTTATTTCCAAGCCCTCTTAGGTTTTATGTGGATTTAGCTAGCACACTTTGGAGCACCAATTTGTTGGGGGAGGCTGCTTGTTCATTTTCAGGTCACCCAGACTCCTAAAATAATCGTCCTTCACTGGATCTGGGATGGCTGGTCCTATCTCTTGCTGGATATTGCAGCATGTCAGTCGGTTCTACTCCTCAGGGGAGAGTTCACCCAGCACTTGGGAAAGATTCTTAATTTTCTCTTACTTTAATAACAAAAAAATTAACCTTCACTAAAATATTTTATTGGAATAAGTGCAATGGATATATTTTCAAGAACATTCATATGCAAGTGTTAAGTCTAAACATTTTTAATTAAACCCATTATATGAATAAAATGATGAGCATATATGTAACATAACATTTATGTTAAACATAACATTTTTATGTTAAATTTCTTTTTTGTTTTCAAAAGTACAAGACATAAAATCTCAAGAAATAACATCCAAAATTGAGGTAACCTCACTCTTTCTATAATAAAACAACTATGTCATTAAGTCTTTAATAATAATAACCAACATCTTAAATTTTAAGATAAATCTACTCTATTTGCCACATTAAAATACAAAGCTAGTGCTTATACAGCTATGATCTCTTCAAAAACCAGGGTTTTTCAAAGTTCTTATGCCTAATTTAAACTTAAAAAATCCCTTTAAAGCCCCATAATCTCATCAAAAAACAGTTAAGCATTTTTCTCTTTGATATCTAAAGTGTTTTACTCATATTGAAAGCTGTACCTTAAATGTTCAGGATTTGGGGGCTAGCTCAGCAGTTAAGAGTGTTAGTTGCTCTTCAAGAAAAAAAAGCAAAACATTCTAAGCACAAACTATAGAGTTTGTAATAGAGATTTCTTTTTTAAGACTTATTTACATTTATTCTCTATGTCTGGGTGTTTTGCGTTCATGACTGTGCACTACATGGGTGCAGTATCTGCAGAGGTCAGAAGATCTTAAATATATCCCCTCAAACTGGAGTTAAAGATAGTTGTGAGCTGTCTGACATAGGTTCTAAGATTATTTTGCAGGAATATTACACGCTCCTAACAGCTGAGGCATCTCTCCAGCGCCAGAAACATAGACTAGAATTTTAGAAGGGACAATGATTCTGGTCTTATAGGCCTTCCCATTAAATCCAGAGGAAAGACTACTGACATGATGGCAGGTACAGTAACTAAAGCCACCCAAACTCCAATGCAAGGGAAATTTACATTTCTAAACTTATCAGTAGTTTCAAGCTTATTTTGTGTTTTGGTCTTCTTTATTTTTCTTTGACAATGTTGGGACTGGGTAGTTACAATCTTACAGTATTTTTCTTTTCATTTATTTCACTATTGGATTTCTTTTTTTTTTCAACAGTCCAAGGTATTGTGCCCCTAAGAGCAAAACACACAAGGATAACTTTCAAGGATCTCACATACTCTTACTTAAACCATGTGTTTAAATTCTGTAAAATTTGTATTTCCTAGGATATATGATAGTTTCAAACTAATTTACATATGATGCAGTCAGAGTGACTAAGATCAACAGAACAACCAATAGAAGATGTTGCTGTTTGTGAGATTGTACACAGGTGTAGCCACTTTGGAAATCAAAATACAAAATTCTCAAAAGAACTAAAACTAAAATTATCATATGATACAGCTATATCACTCATTGGCATCTGCCCAAAGGATTAGATATTCTATTCCAAAAATGCTTGCTCAGCCATGTTCATTATTGGCCTATACACAACAGCTAGGAAATGGAAACAACTCAGTGTCTTCAAAACTGCTGAAATAATAATGAAATAATGAAAATATCATGTATATGTATGTGTATATATACATACAACTTGGCATATTTTTTCAGCTATAAAGAAAACTGTTGTAGAGGGAAACATTAAATTGGCGTGGCTCACTTACACTTCAGAGGTTTAGTCCATTGTGGTCATGGGGGGAAGCAAGGCAGCATGCAGGAAGACATAGTGCTAGAGAAGAAGCTGAGAGTTCTTACATTTTGTTCTGAAAGCAATAGGAAGCAAACTATCTCACTGTGCATGGCTTGAGCATATATGGGACCTCAAAGCCCGCCTCCATAGTGACACCCTTCTTCCAACAAGACCATATCTACTCTTACTCATCTATTAACTGACCAGCTCTTTATGAGGCTAATCAGATGTTCTTGACAGGTAAAATAACACAGCTTCTGCCCAACCTTCTGACATTCAACTAGTTTG